AGTGGGGTGTGGTGAGTGGGGTGTGGTGAGTGGGGTGTGGTGAGTGGGGTGTGGTGAGTGGGGTGTGGTGAGTGGGGTGTGGTGAGTGGGGTGTGGTGAGTGGGGTGTGGTGAGTGGGGTGTGGTGAGTGGGGTGTGGTGAGTGGGGTGTGGTGAGTGGGGTGTGGTGAGTGGGGTGTGGTGAGTGGGGTGTGGTGAGTGGGGTGGGAGTGGGGTGTGGTGAGTGGGGTGTGGTGAGTGGGGTGTGGTGAGTGGGGTGTGGTGAGTGGGGTGTGGTGAGTGGGGTGTGGTGAGTGGGGTGTGGTGAGTGGGGTGTGGTGAGTGGGGTGTGGTGAGTGGGTGTGGTGAGTGGGGTGTGGTGAGTGGGGTGTGGTGAGTGGGGTGTGGTGAGTGGGGTGTGGTGAGTGGGGTGTGGTGAGTGGGGTGTGGTGAGTGGGGTGTGGTGAGTGGGGTGTGGTGAGTGGGGTGTGGTGAGTGGGGTGTGGTGAGTGGGGTGTGGTGAGTGGGGTGTGGTGAGTGGGGTGTGGTGAGTGGGGTGTGGTGAGTGGGGTGTGGTGAGTGGGGTGTGGTGAGTGGGGTGTGGTGAGTGGGGTGTGGTGAGTGGGGTGTGGTGAGTGGGGTGTGGTGAGTGGGGTGTGGTGAGTGGGGTGTGGTGAGTGGGGTGTGGTGAGTGGGGTGTGGTGAGTGGGGTGTGGTGAGTGGGGTGTGGTGAGTGGGGTGTGGTGAGTGGGGTGTGGTGAGTGGGGTGTGGTGAGTGGGGTGTGGTGAGTGGGGTGTGGTGAGTGGGGTGTGGTGAGTGGGGTGTGGTGAGTGGGGTGTGGTGAGTGGGGTGTGGTGAGTGGGGTGTGGTGAGTGGGGTGTGGTGAGTGGGGTGTGGTGAGTGGGGTGTGGTGAGTGGGTGTGGTGAGTGGGGTGTGGTGAGTGGGGTGTGGTGAGTGGGGTGTGGTGAGTGGGGTGTGGTGAGTGGGGTGTGGTGAGTGGGGTGTGGTGAGTGGGGTGTGGTGAGTGGGGTGTGGTGAGTGGGGTGTGGTGAGTGGGGTGTGGTGAGTGGGGTGTGGTGAGTGGGGTGTGGTGAGTGGGGTGTGGTGAGTGGGGTGTGGTGAGTGGGGTGTGGTGAGTGGGGTGTGGTGAGTGGGGTGTGGTGAGTGGGGTGTGGTGAGTGGGGTGTGGTGAGTGGGGTGTGGTGAGTGGGGTGTGGTGAGTGGGGTGTGGTGAGTGGGGTGTGGTGAGTGGGGTGTGGTGAGTGGGGTGTGGTGAGTGGGGTGTGGTGAGTGGGGTGTGGTGAGTGGGGTGTGGTGAGTGGGGTGTGGTGAGTGGGGTGTGGTGAGTGGGGTGTGGTGAGTGGGTGTGGTGAGTGGGGTGTGGTGAGTGGGGTGTGGTGAGTGGGGTGTGGTGAGTGGGGTGTGGTGAGTGGGGTGTGGTGAGTGGGGTGTGGTGAGTGGGGTGTGGTGAGTGGGGTGTGGTGAGTGGGGTGTGGTGAGTGGGGTGTGGTGAGTGGGGTGTGGTGAGTGGGGTGTGGTGAGTGGGGTGTGGTGAGTGGGTGTGGTGAGTGGGGTGTGGTGAGTGGGGTGTGGTGAGTGGGGTGTGGTGAGTGGGGTGTGGTGAGTGGGGTGTGGTGAGTGGGGTGTGGTGAGTGGGGTGTGGTGAGTGGGGTGTGGTGAGTGGGGTGTGGTGAGTGGGGTGTGGTGAGTGGGGTGTGGTGAGTGGGGTGTGGTGAGTGGGGTGTGGTGAGTGGGGTGTGGTGAGTGGGTGTGGTGAGTGGGGTGTGGTGAGTGGGGTGTGGTGAGTGGGGTGTGGTGAGTGGGGTGTGGTGAGTGGGGTGTGGTGAGTGGGGTGTGGTGAGTGGGTGTGGTGAGTGGGGTGTGGTGAGTGGGGTGTGGTGAGTGGGGTGTGGTGAGTGGGGTGTGGTGAGTGGGGTGTGGTGAGTGGGGTGTGGTGAGTGGGGTGTGGTGAGTGGGGTGTGGTGAGTGGGGTGTGGTGAGTGGGGTGTGGTGAGTGGGGTGTGGTGAGTGGGGTGTGGTGAGTGGGGTGTGGTGAGTGGGGTGTGGTGAGTGGGGTGTGGTGAGTGGGTGTGGTGAGTGGGGTGTGGTGAGTGGGGTGTGGTGAGTGGGGTGTGGTGAGTGGGGTGTGGTGAGTGGGGTGTGGTGAGTGGGGTGTGGTGAGTGGGGTGTGGTGAGTGGGGTGTGGTGAGTGGGGTGTGGTGAGTGGGGTGTGGTGAGTGGGGTGTGGTGAGTGGGGTGTGGTGAGTGGGGTGTGGTGAGTGGGGTGTGGTGAGTGGGGTGTGGTGAGTGGGTGTGGTGAGTGGGGTGTGGTGAGTGGGGTGTGGTGAGTGGGGTGTGGTGAGTGGGGTGTGGTGAGTGGGGTGTGGTGAGTGGGGTGTGGTGAGTGGGGTGTGGTGAGTGGGGTGTGGTGAGTGGGGTGTGGTGAGTGGGGTGTGGTGAGTGGGGTGTGGTGAGTGGGGTGTGGTGAGTGGGGTGTGGTGAGTGGGGTGTGGTGAGTGGGGTGTGGTGAGTGGGGTGTGGTGAGTGGGGTGTGGTGAGTGGGGTGTGGTGAGTGGGGTGTGGTGAGTGGGGTGTGGTGAGTGGGGTGTGGTGAGTGGGGTGTGGTGAGTGGGGTGTGGTGAGTGGGGTGTGGTGAGTGGGGTGTGGTGAGTGGGGTGTGGTGAGTGGGGTGTGGTGAGTGGGGTGTGGTGAGTGGGGTGTGGTGAGTGGGGTGTGGTGAGTGGGGTGTGGTGAGTGGGGTGTGGTGAGTGGGGTGTGGTGAGTGGGGTGTGGTGAGTGGGGTGTGGTGAGTGGGGTGTGGTGAGTGGGTGTGGTGAGTGGGGTGTGGTGAGTGGGGTGTGGTGAGTGGGGTGTGGTGAGTGGGGTGTGGTGAGTGGGGTGTGGTGAGTGGGGTGTGGTGAGTGGGGTGTGGTGAGTGGGGTGTGTGAGTGGGGTGTGGTGAGTGGGGTGTGGTGAGTGGGGTGTGGTGAGTGGGGTGTGGTGAGTGGGGTGTGGTGAGTGGGGTGTGGTGAGTGGGGTGTGGTGAGTGGGGTGTGGTGAGTGGGGTGTGGTGAGTGGGGTGTGGTGAGTGGGGTGTGGTGAGTGGGGTGTGGTGAGTGGGGTGTGGTGAGTGGGGTGTGGTGAGTGGGGTGTGGTGAGTGGGGTGTGGTGAGTGGGGTGTGGTGAGTGGGGTGTGGTGAGTGGGGTGTGGTGAGTGGGGTGTGGTGAGTGGGGTGTGGTGAGTGGGGTGTGGTGAGTGGGGTGTGGTGAGTGGGGTGTGGTGAGTGGGGTGTGGTGAGTGGGGTGTGGTGAGTGGGGTGTGGTGAGTGGGGTGTGGTGAGTGGGGTGTGGTGAGTGGGGTGTGGTGAGTGGGGTGTGGTGAGTGGGGTGTGGTGAGTGGGGTGTGGTGAGTGGGGTGTGGTGAGTGGGGTGTGGTGAGTGGGGTGTGGTGAGTGGGGTGTGGTGAGTGGGGTGTGGTGAGTGGGGTGTGGTGAGTGGGGTGTGGTGAGTGGGGTGTGGTGAGTGGGGTGTGGTGAGTGGGGTGTGGTGAGTGGGGTGTGGTGAGTGGGGTGTGGTGAGTGGGGTGTGGTGAGTGGGGTGTGGTGAGTGGGGTGTGGTGAGTGGGGTGTGGTGAGTGGGGTGTGGTGAGTGGGGTGTGGTGAGTGGGGTGTGGTGAGTGGGGTGTGGTGAGTGGGGTGTGGTGAGTGGGGTGTGGTGAGTGGGGTGTGGTGAGTGGGGTGTGGTGAGTGGGGTGTGGTGAGTGGGGTGTGGTGAGTGGGGTGTGGTGAGTGGGGTGTGGTGAGTGGGGTGTGGTGAGTGGGGTGTGGTGAGTGGGGTGTGGTGAGTGGGGTGTGGTGAGTGGGGTGTGGTGAGTGGGGTGTGGTGAGTGGGGTGTGGTGAGTGGGGTGTGGTGAGTGGGGTGTGGTGAGTGGGGTGTGGTGAGTGGGGTGTGGTGAGTGGGGTGTGGTGAGTGGGGTGTGGTGAGTGGGGTGTGGTGAGTGGGGTGTGGTGAGTGGGGTGTGGTGAGTGGGGTGTGGTGAGTGGGGTGTGGTGAGTGGGGTGTGGTGAGTGGGGTGTGGTGAGTGGGGTGTGGTGAGTGGGGTGTGGTGAGTGGGGTGTGGTGAGTGGGGTGTGGTGAGTGGGGTGTGGTGAGTGGGGTGTGGTGAGTGGGGTGTGGTGAGTGGGGTGTGGTGAGTGGGGTGTGGTGAGTGGGGTGTGGTGAGTGGGGTGTGGTGAGTGGGGTGTGGTGAGTGGGGTGTGGTGAGTGGGGTGTGGTGAGTGGGGTGTGGTGAGTGGGGTGTGGTGAGTGGGGTGTGGTGAGTGGGGTGTGGTGAGTGGGGTGTGGTGAGTGGGGTGTGGTGAGTGGGGTGTGGTGAGTGGGGTGTGGTGAGTGGGGTGTGGTGAGTGGGGTGTGGTGAGTGGGGTGTGGTGAGTGGGGTGTGGTGAGTGGGGTGTGGTGAGTGGGGTGTGGTGAGTGGGGTGTGGTGAGTGGGGTGTGGTGAGTGGGGTGTGGTGAGTGGGGTGTGGTGAGTGGGGTGTGGTGAGTGGGGTGTGGTGAGTGGGGTGTGGTGAGTGGGGTGTGGTGAGTGGGGTGTGGTGAGTGGGGTGTGGTGAGTGGGGTGTGGTGAGTGGGGTGTGGTGAGTGGGGTGTGGTGAGTGGGGTGTGGTGAGTGGGGTGTGGTGAGTGGGGTGTGGTGAGTGGGGTGTGGTGAGTGGGGTGTGGTGAGTGGGGTGTGGTGAGTGGGGTGTGGTGAGTGGGGTGTGGTGAGTGGGGTGTGGTGAGTGGGGTGTGGTGAGTGGGGTGTGGTGAGTGGGGTGTGGTGAGTTGGGGTGTGGGAGTGGGGTGTGGTGAGTGGGGTGTGGTGAGTGGGGTGTGGTGAGTGGGGTGTGGTGAGTGGGGTGTGGTGAGTGGGGTGTGGTTGCACGAGTGCATGCGCGCATGTGAAGGCTCCTCCCGCTCTCACGTGTTGTGCTGCTCTATCCTGTGTGCCACGCTACACCCCGTGTGTGCCCCATGCAGGCGCAGTACCAGCTGTTCTCACAGGCATTCAACATCCCCGAGTGGAAAGGTGCGCGCCTACATCGCCGTCACGCATCTCCCCACACACTCTCACGTCTCGCTCCCATGCCCCTCTCACAGCCCTCTCACAGCCCTCTCACAGCCCTCTCACAGCCCTCTCTCACCCCTCGCCCGAAGCTTCACAACACCCCAGCGATTTTTGAGTCGACTTGAGAATCGCAACTGTGCGCACACCCATGCAGCATGTGCCGAGATCCAGCCTTCTCAATTGTGCTGGCAAATGTGTATGTGCACGCATGTGTGTGCCTGGAGCAGCGGAGGTGGGTCGGGCGGTGAAGCGCATGGAGGCGGCGGTGAGCAAGTACCAGGAGGTGCGCTCCAACCTGAATGAGGGGCTCAAGTTCTACGTCGCCCTGCAGGTATCCCACTGCCCCCTCTCCCACCTTCGCCCCTCCCCACTGTCCTCTCGCTTCCGCCTCTTTCCCCCCTTTTCTCCACCCCTCTTCCCCCACCCCTGCCTGCTCATCTGTACCCTCCGCCCCTAACCGCACGCGTCACAAAGTGCACGTTGGCGCGATGCTCAAGTTCTACCTTTCCTCCCTCTTGCCGCGGTGTCCCGTGCGCCCGTGTGACGGGGGCGGGGAGAGCAGGACGCGATAACAGCGTTGAAGCAGCAGTGCAGCGACTACGTGATGACGCGCAACATGCAGAAGGCCGACCTCATCTCCGACCTGCAGCGCCACCTCGCCGGCCTCTCCCTGCGCGACCACACTCCCCCCGCCGCCGCCGCTCCCGCCCCTCGTGCTGCAGCCCCCCCTGCGCAGGTAGCAGCGCCGGCAGGGGGGAGGTCACCGGGGGATGGTGCGTACCTGGGGGCACCGCAGGGGGCGGCAGCAGCGGGGGGGCAGGGCCGGCCCGTGAGCCCCAAGGGCGGAGGGGGCCCGCTGCAGTTCCTGCAGCAGCACCTGCCCTTCTTTAACAACCAGAACCAGCAGGCCCCGCCCCAGCAGCCCCAGCCCGTTGCCCCTGCAGGTGCTTATGCACCCCCTGCTGCTCAACCCCCTCAGTATGCAGCACCCGTGCCCCAGCAACAGCAGCCGCCGCCGCAGCAGCAGCAGCATGGCGGCGGGCAAATGGGGTACTACAGCCAAGCAGGCCCGCCCGCCCCTGGTGGCGCGGCCCCTGCTCCGTACTACATGCCCGCGCCACAGCAGGCGGCAGCGGCGCCCCATGGTGGGTACTACTCCACGGGGCAGCCCGCCCCCGCCCCCGCCCCCGTGTACGGGCAGCCGCCAGTGCAGCAGGGCGCGCAGGGGCAGGCGCAGTGGAGTGGAGGCTACCACCCCCAGGCGTACGGCTCCCATGCACCGCAACAAATGCCGCCGCCCAACCCCTACCAGTACCCCTCCTCTGGAGGTTACTGAAGCATCCCCTCTCTAGTTCTTTCTCCCTTCCCTTGCTGCTCGCTTGTCTCGTGTGTTCCACCTACCGGTAATCCTGCCCCACCGTACTGCACCAAACTGGCTAGGTCATGCAGAGTTACCATTCCATGTGCCATACCGCTTTCTTGTTTGCAAGTGTAGCTTGTTAGGCCCTTAGGTTGCTAGTACCATGCGGATTAGTTGTTCGAGAGTTTGCGTCTCAATCTTACTTCTTGATAACTTAGGGTTGAATTGCAAAATGAACTCAAAACAGTTCCGTAGCTTGATTACAGCAGAGTAAAGGATTCTACAGTCAGTTGCCACAAGCATGGGCTGTACAATGCTGTCACAGGTGGTGCAGCCGGACTGGCCAGTCAGTAGCTGCAGCACAGCAGGTGAACTAGAGCCATGGCTGCACACGCCATCCCGCCATCACATGGCGATGCTGCTATGCACTGCGCCCGTCATCCAGGCGCGTGTCACAGGAGCATGAGTGTGGCCACGCCCCTGGCCCTCAGCTGCGCCTGCACCGCCATCATCTCCTGCTCGTACGCACGCCCGCCCACCCGCCCTCCCCTGCTGCGCGCGCCCCACGCCACGCCACAGTGGGTGCAGGGCTGCTCTAGCCCTAGAGCAGCGGAGCCTGCAGAAGACTGGCTCGTGTTCCTCAGCTCGAGGCGCTGCAGTGCGGGCAGCATGGCGGCCAGTGCGGCAATGTCACGGGGCTCGTGAGCAACACACTCCAGTGTCAGAGACCGCACCGTCGGGTGCAGCACCCGTGGGTACTGCCCACCCTGCCCGCGCCTCCCTGTTGCTTCCCCTGCTGCTTCCTCGAAAGCGGCGTCTTTCTCCCCCGCATCCAACCCCTCGTCCCTCAGCCCTGCTCCTTCCCCTCCCCTCAACCCTCTCTCCCCCGCCTCCCACGTGCCCCTCGCGCCCCTCCCACTGGCCGCTGTGCCTGGGCGGAGCACAGCAGCGCCCACGCCGTGCAGGCAGGCGCCGACGAGGTGCAGGTGGAGCAGGCGCGTGCACTTGGCGAGGGGCAGCAGGTCCAGCAGCGCCAGGCGCCCCATGTGCAGCGCCAGCGACGCCAGGTGGCGGCGCCACGCGATGACGAGCAGGAAGATGGACGGGCGCGAGAGGGCTGCGGGGCACAGGCACACGAAGGCTTGCACCTGGCGGAAGCTGGCGGTGAGGAACCAGAGCGCGCGCAGCTCGATGAACGCAAACGGTGCCCACGCCGCAGGCGCCCGCTCCCGCTCCCGCTCTCGCTCACGGGCGCGTGTGGGCGGAGGTGCATGGTGAGCAGCGAGCTGGTGCGTGGTTGTGGGCACGTGGGCAGGGGCCGCGCGGACATCGGGGCGGTATGCAGGAGGGAGGGCGGAGTAGTGGCAGGAGGTGGGGGCGACGAGCTCAATGGTGTGCACGTTGGTGCAGTGCACGCTGAAGTGGCGCACGGGGGAGAGGGGGCGAAACGGGGGGACGAGATGAAGAGAACTCTTGGACTTGCATGGGGCAATGCGTTGACACGACACGATGCATGACAAGGCAAGGCACCATGGTGACTATGTGTGGTGGAAATTCGGGCAACGCCCGGCAAGGGTGCAGCAAGGAGCGAGGTGTGCGCGACACGCACTGCCTTGTGGAACGCAAGTCGTGAATGCGGCGCTGCGCACCTGAGCACCCACAGCATGCTGCACACGGACGCCTCTCTCAGGTCGTCCACTCCCGCTGCACTCTCCGCCTCCATGGCCCCCCACTCCGCCGCGCGCCCCTCCCCCGCCCCCGTGTGCTGCACCCCCACCGTTCCCCCCAGCAGCGCAGCAGGGGCGGCGGGGGGTGCGGGCGGGTCGCAGTTGATGACGAGGCGCGTGAGGGAGTGCGCGGCGGCGGCGATGATGGGGTGCAGCAGGTGCACGTGGCACAGCGGGTCGTCCACGTACAGCTCCTGCAGCCCCGCGCACCGCGCCGCCAGCTCCTCCACTCCTGCCGCCCACGCGAAAGGGGGTAAAAGGGGGACGAGGGGGGAAACAGATGGCGTTGTGGAGTTGGGATGGTGGGAAGGAGTTGGGGAGCTCTTTCGTACAATCATTAGACACCGCTATCCGGTGCATGGATACCGGGACACGGAATTACTGCGTGGCGCATACGGAGTAGCACGAACAGAGGTGTGGCGCGCTGCGCCTACGGCGCGCACCTGGTCGGATGCTGTGCGGTTCCACGCGCAGGCGCTGCCAGAAGGGCGCGGAGTAGCACAGTGCCTTCCACGCGCGCGCCACGCACGCGAGGCGGCAGAGGTCCCACGCGGTGGGGCGCGAGCAGAGGATGATCCTCAGCAGCAGGTCGTCACTCAAGTCCGCCATTGAGCTCCGCCGCCGCGCCTGCTGCTGCGAGTGGTTTGCGGGCAGGCTGGAGCTCGCAGTGTCGCCACCGCCTCGCCCGCCGCCTCCCCCCGCGCCCGTCGGCCCGGCGCTACCCTCCGCCTGCGCGCAGCCCGTTTCTGCCAACTCGTTCTCCTCAGCCGCCGGGAATCGCGGCCTTAGGAAAAAGGCTGGAGGCGGTACGAGCGCGGGGATCGTGTGACGGCGGCCGGCAGCAGCGATGTGAGCGTGCGATGCGGCTTCAAGAACGGCGGACTCGCCAGGCATCGTCGAACACGCCTCTTCGGAGCGGCAAGGAGCGGCGCGGTTGATTATGCTAGCGGCGAGTGCGGCGTGATGATGGTGATGGGCTGGAGACGAGCTTCTCGCTCGCTTTCGACACGGCGTGGAACCCGTGCACTGTCCATCGCTGAGCGCAGCGTGCTTCACTATGTCGTGAGATGGCATCATGCGCGACGGCGGGATCGCAAAGGAAAAGGCTCTGGAGGAAGGAGTGGCGAGTTAAAGCAGAGATAAGAACTCGTAGGAGCAAGGGATTCAAAAAAGGGCTCGACGACGCAGTGAATGGCCATCCTGCTGCTCATATGCACGGTGGCTCGAGGAAGGAAGTAAGGCTACGAGGAATAATCCCTCGACTGCGCGAGCATGCTGCTGCTAGATCTGTGACCATGTGCCGGCGAGCAGCGCCATCATGACGAATGACTCTGTGCTGCTAGCGTGGGGTTCGGGGCAACACGCCAACATGGCGCGCACGGCGTGCTGGACTTTATTCGAACATCAAGCTGGCGGTACAAAGGATGGTAGGAGTAGTGAAGATGCCGCGAATCCCGCGCGGTGTGTGATGGCGGCGCACATGATCGGCCCCTAAGCTGCAATCTGTGCTGCGGTGCTGCATGTCGGGACTCTCAAATGCGGGTGAATCTGATTTGCACATCGCTGTCCCGTCCAAGCGCTGGTTTGCCAAGTCGGATTCAGAGATCAGGAGGATTCGGGCTCAAAAGATTTGATTGAGATAGTCTGGTCTGGGGACCTGGTCCCCAGATGTGGTGGGGTGACTGAGGGCGTGTCTGAAGTGCAAACGTCGAGTTTCGTCAAATTTCGTCGACGAAACTCATCCGTGGGACCCACGCGTGTTGGTGTCTGAAGTGCAGCCTGACATCCCTCGACGAAACTCGACGTTCGTGCACATGTCGAGGGATGTCGAACAGTGATACCGGGCAGCTGTTTGAGTCACTGTAGTCAGTGAGTGTTTCAAAAACAATTCTTCGACACGCCATGTCTGCATAGCTGTGGCAAACACACGTGAATAAGAACTAAGACGAGAGCGACACGTGCTAGAGAAATTTCGCTGGCAATGTGACAGTAGAATATCCGGTGTTACCAGCAACAATCTATGCTAAGCGAAACTCGCGAGATTGCAAACAATTGAGTTACATGAATGATTATGTTAATTCCACGTCGAATTTTCATGGGCAACTTATAACAGTGTTCCTATGGCACGTGTGGGTTATTTTGTCGTGTGGGTGTCTGAAGTGAACACAGCTGAAAACGGATGTCGAGTTTCGTCAAGGAACGTCGACGAAAGTTTCGTCGGCAAACGTCGAAATTCACTTCAGACACGCCCTGAAACCGCACCCCTATGTCAAACCGAAAAGTGATACAGTACAGTCCGTGCCCATTTCAAGAACACCAGGTAGGCGGGCGGCATGTGCGTGAAACGTGTTTGAGGGAATTCGCCACATCCGCCCTTGTCGCCACGGGCAAAAATGTGACAGTAATATGAAATTGCAACGTGAATCAAATCAAGGGCTTTAATTCCGTAACCAGGTTAACTTCTCTGATGACGGGCAACCGTTGTTGTTTATGTACTGTAGATGTTTTTCTTCCTCAACTTGGTGACTGTACCCCGAAATCGGCACAATGGTCAATTTAGTCACTCACGGGCAAAACGTTCGCGAGTGACTAAAATTCTAATTGTGGAGAGCAAATGTTTTGTGATAGGCTGAGCATCGACTGTACACTTCTACTTTGTAACCCTGAAACCGCAAGTCAAGACTAGTGTGGTTGGGGCGGGGTTACAAAGTAGAAGTGTACTGTATCACTTTTCAAGCTGGTGAGTGGCGGTTCAGAACGGTGAAGCGAACTCATCGCTTTCCACCTCGACCACTGACTGAACAGAAATATAAGGGTGTGTGTCTTTTGGTGTAGACGTTCAGAAATATGGTCGAACTTGATGGTAACCCGTTTCATTAAATTAGTGAAAATCTTCACGAGGCAATTGTGGGTCCTTGTTTTAACTGTGTGAAAGAAGTTGGACACTGAACTAAAGCCGACCTGCGTTCAAGTTTACATTTATCCAATCGTGTCTTCTTCTGCGCACGCAACGAGGCAACGACAGCAACGAGGTAACGACAGCAACGAGATAAAGTATACCGGGTTACCGAAGCCGGATACGGTCGCGAACTGCACCGCCCAACCAGGTAACCTACGAAAGTTTAGCGCAACTCGGGATTCACTGTTTAAAGTTGAACTATGATGGTCGAACTGTTTATACATATATATACATATATCTTATACATTCCATAAATGCAAATACATAGTCATTCGTAAATGATGATGGTC